CTTTAAGAACAGAGGGATTGCTTGGTTAAATGGGAGATTTGTGTGTGGGGGGAGGGGGGGTATCTGATTGACAAATACCGGTGGTTCAAAATAGGCAGATCTTTACCAACTAGGTCTCCAAACTCAGAAGAAGCAGAGAGGGGGAGGAAGCTAAATCTTTACTGCCAGATCTCCAAAACAGGTCCACGTGATCAGACTTGGCAGTAAAGAGCAATCTCTCTCCCAGAGTCTCCTGTGATCTGAACCCTGGCAAGTACATAATAATTTGTATTAAAATGAATGGCTGACAAGCATGGAGGGGGATTGCACCCTGAAACAGCAGAGATGAAAAGTACTAGTTCTCTCTCTCCAGCTTCACTGTGCATCTCTCCCTTACCACATCACTGCACCATCTGCATCAGGAAGATCCTTGGGGACAGCCCAGTTTGAAAGAACCAAGTTGCCAATAGGAGCTAGGTAACTCCCAGCCTCTAACCCTGCCATCAACCACACCATCAGTGAAACATCCTAGATCATGTCAGTGGCAAAAATTGTGTCAGAAGTGGGAAAGCGCTAATTTAAAGTTGAAACATCTACAGACAACTGAGCACACAGCTGCTTTTTCAGGGCAAAACATCAAGTGCGGACAGAGGATAGACCCTGTGTCACTGCATGGGGCTATCATCTAATTCTGCTAGGGTTTTTTTTTCCTGAAAATGTGGCTCTTGCCTTCTCCTCACATTGGTTCTGTCCTTCATTTCCCCTTGTTTATTCCTCCTTTGAAACAACAAAGACAGAGGCAGACCCAGAGGCATCTCCAGAATCTAACAGCTTCATCAGAATGATGAAACAAGTTCTGCAGTAGATGCTCTGCCCCCTATGTATAGGCATGCCACATCATGATGCAACTACAAAGGGGGCGTAGCTTGCATCACAATGTCCATTTCATCATTTGCCCCCTTTGGTCCTGCAGACCTCAAGTGCATTTGCCCCTCCCCTTTCAAACATTATGATACAACACCTGATCTTAATTAAGGCATGCCTCTTTTGCAAGTGTGAAACAATTCTTGCATGCAGCAGCAGGGATGTGGCCCAGTTTAAAGCCTTGGTTTCCCCCAACCCCAAACTGGCTTTATAAAAGCTGATTATTCAGGTAAGAAGTCTTGAGTATTCAGAAGTGGAGGAAACCCAACCTTATCCCTTGACTGCATCCACATGGAAAGGTTGCCTGCAAAACTCATGATTTACCTCAATGAAGAATCCTTTCCATCCTTTGTTTGGATTTTTCATTTCTTTCTTATAAACACTTGTGCTCTTTCCAAAGAAGAAAAAGACAAGAAATATCTCGTTACTGTTTAGGAAGTTTAAAAAATCCATGAGGAAACAAGACATCAAGCCACTGATGTATCTGAGTAAGTATTGTTTACAGACTGATAACGGCTTTTCTGAGTTTTTGTTAGTTTGTGCCAGACTGAGACTGAACATGCAGCCCAGGGGGCTGACATATGTACTGAGAAATGAGGGCAAGGCAGATAAAAATGGATGCTTTGGTACATAGAAAATGGCCAGATAGGACAACCAGCAGCTGCCCCACAGTGAGATCTTGATAGCCATTCTGTTGGATGAGTTATTGTATGCTAATGCTTCTGCAGAGATGACAGATGAAGGGCCTGCTCAGTGAGAATTATTGATGGATCTCAAGTTGGGAACAAAGAAAAGAGTTTGCCACAGAAGAGTGAGAGGTACAAAGGGAGTAGGTGCAGGGAGAGAATATGTGGCCATAGGACTTTAGCAATTGGCCAAGGGAGAAGAGGTTGGCAAAAGGAAGGAGCAGATGGGAATGAGGGAAGGAAGTTCTGTAGGCTTGAGGAAAGGTCAATCAAGTGTGCCAGTGGATGGCACAAATGGAACAATTGTGTGGAAGGTATATGACAGATGAAGAAGGAAGAAAAACAGTACAAGTGAGGCATCAATAGAAGGAAAATTAAATAAACAAGAAGCTGGCATCCAACAGATCAATGGAGCTAAAATTGATCCAAAGAGGTGGGGAACTCCGCAGTGCTGTTTGTTGCTGTTTCTAAGGGAGAAACTATTGCACGTTTTTCCTATATTATAAGGTAACTAGACCAAAAAAAACCTTTAATTAGTTTTTTTCCATTTCTTCATTTTTCAGCAAGATCCACAACACAAAGGTAAGCCATTCATGGAAAGGAAGATCTTTATAGAAAGCAAATCTTTATAGAATTAACACCCATCTGAAGAAAGCCTTATTGAAATGATACAAGTCATTTAATTAGAAGTTGTCTAACTAGGTTTGTTTTTAGCCTGGAAAAATAAAAGAGGCTAGTGTTTTCTCACATTTGAGAATAAAGAACATCAATGGGCTTATGTTAGACAGTTCCCTATTTGGGAAACTGTAGTTTGGATTTGCCTGAAATCCCTAATAAAATTCTGCAAAAGTATCTGCCGGAGAAGAAGAAGGCATTCTTTAGGGGTGAAAAGAATAATTTCAATTCAGAGTGTATGACTGCTCAAAGAGGAGAAAGACAAGAAATACCAACATTCTTAAAACATGAGATTAAAACAATGAGATTTTGTCTCCCTAAAACTAACTACTTAAACAAAGGCAAACTCTAACATTGATGGCAACCCTATCCCTATTCCTGCTTTAACATGGTATGCTATAGAATTGTTTTCAAGAGAAGACAAAGAAGTGTAAAATGGTAAATATTTTTAACTACTACTTTTGTTTTGCAATATCTTAATTATACAGAATTTGTAGTCCTTCAACTATTGTTGAACTACAGCTTCCTGAAGCTCAGCTAGACACTCGATGAGATATTTCGGGAACTGTAGTATAGTAGCAATATCTAAATATCCATGGGTTTCTCATCCCTGTCCTATACATCTGGGTGCTTACGATGAATTAGGCAGCTTTACCTCTCTCCTTCAAAGCTGAATGAATGAATGAATGAATGAATGAATGAATGAATGAATGTCTACTCACCACTTTGTTCACCTTAACACGATTCCATTTAATAGGATTCCTTTTAGCTTCTTGTCCAGATAACACGTGCATCCGGAAATCTATCCTAAGGATGTTAAAAGTAGAGAAGAAAGCTGTACACCCTCAGATTCTTTTTTCTCTGTCTTTTTTGTAATTGGTTTATTTTTCTTTTTAATTCTGTATTTCTTTTAGTTTATGTCATTTATTTTAATTTATCTCACTTTGTTTTGCAAAATTAATTTTCAAAAAGGGATGGAGGGTGGAAAAAAAATGTGTTGGGGCCCCAATACCTTGTTCCATCATTAGTGGTAGCATAGTAAGCATAGATTGATGAAGGCTCCAAATCTGTGAAAAAGTAGATAGTTCCTCCAGTATTTGTCTAGAAAAAGAGGAAGGATCAATGAGAAAGAAATGAAGGCAGGTGTTCTTCTGAGTGTCGTTTTCCTTTTCCATATGTGGAAACAAAAAGCATTGTTGGTATGAAAGCCAAATCTTGGATGGCCATGTCATTAATGCTTGCCCTATTACTACCTGATGAAGACAAGATATGGTGGGCCATCAGTTACGTTGCTTTATATACACCTGGTCTATGGCAGGAATGAGCAAACTTTGGTAGCTTGGGGCTGCATTTAACATTTGGAGGGATGATGGCTGTAGTGGGAAACATGCAGTAAGAGACAGGCAAATTCAGGTCACATCATGGACATGGGTGGGGCTGGAATTCTTTCAGGGGGTGGGGTCCTTCTGTTAAGCTTGTTTAAGGGCTTACACTCCTATTCGCCTGATGCCTCTGTTCTGAGAGAATTCTATAGTTGCCAAACCATAGAGACCTCTGTACAAAATCAGCAGTAAAAGCAACACCGGGGCATCAGGAAGGAGACAGGCAAGTGGATCTTTTTTGCCTTAGTTATCTCAGCTGCAGTGAGGTCATTGGGAGGGTGGCATCTGTGTGGACAGGATTGCAAGTGAATGTATGGTCCCTGGTCTCTACCCCAACAGCTGGTATTGCATGTGGTCCTCAGGGCTGTGGTCCTCCTGCTCCTGCCCTGTCCTCCCTCCCTCCCCTCCTTCTCCCACCCACCCCCATCACCCTGGTTCCCTGTAGCACTGCTGGGGACAAAGAATGGGAGATAGGTTTTTTCAAAGAATTGGATTGGGAGTACATTCTATAGAGTCCTTGGTGCTCTCTGAGCTTGGTTGTTTGCTAGCAAACGTTTCATTACCCAACTAGGTAACATCATCAGTGCTGGTGTTTATATACAGTAGCTTGTCCTGTCAGTTTTGGTGGGGGAGTGGTTTTCTCCTTGGTAGTTCCTTGATTAGAGTATTGTTTTCTGCTTGATTGTTTGTCTG